GTGGGAATGTCAACTCGTTTAGGTATATATTTTTTTTTTTTTCAGAACAGCTCATATTTCACCCAAAATTTACTATTATTTCCTTAACCTCAGGAATTTGCTTTAAAGTGTATATTTATTTTAGCACAGTCAAACTTATAGTCGATTTGTATCATCAAAAGAGTAAATAATCATACCAAAATTAACACGTATCAGAATAATGAGGGTATTGTTTGGATCTAAAAGTCGTGTTTCTCAAGTGTATTGCCACCAAATGGGAACTTGTTACCTCATTAACTTTGGCTAAAAGCTCATCATCAAGTCAAATCATTATCTATGTTTCAGCCAACACTTAACCGATAAGGCACGATCCTCATTATGAAACTTGTCAAAATTTCTTGCGCACATGACAAACTACAGATTTCGCATGTTGTATGAATAAATAATTAATTCGTTTTCGTAAAAACCACAATTGTTGGATATTACTCTTATTTTTCTCGGTATGATAACCATAACGCGCGTGCAAGACGATAACTGCACGAGAGTGTGTACGCGTAAAAGTGTATTTTGCACTCGCTAAAAATACAGATTGTCGATAAAATCGAATGTGTTTACCAGTGACGTCGTAAAAAACTTTGCACAGCAGAGAGTCAACACGAAGTTCTGGCCCATGTACGGATCGTTGCTGTGACAATAAGCGCCTTCCAAAAACAAAACCCGCTTGTATTGTAAGTAGGACCAGGCGATTTGTCGTAGATTTTTTAGTACAATTATTCATGACCAACATGCAGTTAGTTCTCTTGCTGTATAAGCCATTACATAGCTAGTGACACGAAATTGTCCATTTTTATATTTGGCGAAAAAGAAACCATATCGTACAGTAATTCATTAAAATCGACGGGAAAACGAGACACAGCACCTACACGTGGAGAATTCAGAGGAAACTTGTCATGCATTGTAAATCGAAAACCAATTTGAAGAGTTTGGAGAAATCTTGAGCATACAGTGAGCGCACTGTCTCTTTCTTTCTCTCGATCTCTTCGTCACCTTCGTTCATTGGTGATATCGTTGTGCGATGACGGGGAGGGGCCATAAAGTATCGGAGCAGCGGGTATAGCTGACGATCCCCTACGCTCAGACTTTCCTTAAATTCCTCGACCGGTACGTCGCAGCAGCGAAACGTCATTCTACTGTTGTTGCGTAGGGAGTCTTGACTGCGGTGCATTTGTGCAATTTTATATCAAATTCTAAGTGCTTGTTTCTGATCTTTCAATTGTTATACTTGCATATACATTGCAATCTTGTGATTGTTGGTGAGTGAAATATTTTACGGGGACGTGAGTTTTCCAAAGTCCAGTGCTACGGTATTGTGCGATGGCTAATAGACCTATTCCATTTTCGACGTCCGTTCTCGTTTATGGTGATGTTTCAGGTATACTTTTTTCATTAAATTTTTTTCTTTTTTTTCATAGTTTTTCTATTTTGCGTAATAATCTACGTGAGTTGCATCGCTGTGGAAGACTATGTCATTGCAAACTGCTCGAGCACCCCAATTGTTTGAATCAAAAGAAATTTCTTCACCCTCGTTACGTTAAAAGTTTTCTTTTAAGTAAAAAAACCGTTTGGTCGACCAAAACACCATTCCATATAATTAAATGGAAAAAAAAATTAATTTTATTAAGTCCTTTTTTTATTTAACTAATATTTTTTATTCATAAGAAAATATTTAACCGAATGAGGGTAAACTAATATTCTTTGATTCAGAGGGTACAGGGATCTTTTACTTGATGCGACCCAATATTTACTGTACTTAATAATTTTTTTGACGAGTGCACTGTGAAATCATAAATAGTATTAGGTTGCAATAATTAAAAAATTTGCCTCTAGTTTAGAGTGTTAGTGCAGCAAGATTTTTTTCTCGGGGTTTACGTTAGGAATGTTCTAGAAACTTAACAATCTATTCATTAATTATCATTAACTTCATAAATCTACTCTTATACGTGTGACAAAGTTGGATGAATTGAAACACGTTTATTCACACGATTTTGTCACACTGTGCCATCAAACGTTTGAACATGATATGAGAGTGTCAAATAAAATTCCCGTCGTCTGACGTACAATGAGTATATAGTTTAACTTGAGCAAAGACGACACGGCCTCGTTTAGCGCACTATAATTTTTATTTGGTATTTCTTATCAAAAGCTTAACACCTCCTACCAAATATTTTTCACGCGGAGGCGAGAAGACTCGAGAAGGAAATCTTACGTAGTATCCAACAATAAATAAATAAAAAATAATAAAGATAAAGTGTCAGCCTTGTGCGTTTATCTGTTTAATTTCGATATATTTCTGACCGAAGAAGCTAAAAATGATGTTGTGACCCATTGAAATTTTAAGCGAATAAATCGCATTTGGATGATTGGTTCGTCAGTTACACTATACTTGATGATAAAATGCCCCCAAAAATCAATTTTATACAGAAAAACAAACACATCACCTCAAGAAGCACGGGAGTTTTTCCCTACTTTACCGGAAACGTAAAATGAGGGAAAGAAAAGCCCTTGTGACTCACTCGTGTTTTCCTCGCATCCTGGAAATTTCGAAGCATATGTTTAAACTCGGTAAAACAGGGGTACTTGTGTTTCATAAGTTTTTTTTTTTGAGACCTACTTACCTCCCCTTGGGACTTATTTTTCCCAAACGCGCGTGCGTATACGACAATCCCGGCTCGCGTTTTTACACTCCATTCGATTATATTCACGCGCGTGCAGTGTCTTCGAGAGTCTACTTCTTCAGGTAAAAGAGCAGTTATCGCTCCCTGCATTGATTGCATTATCAGGAAAATGCACTTTGTGCGTGGGAATGTCAACTCGTTTAGGTGCACTTATCAGTTGGTGAGCTGCGTGCTTCCTACGGAAATGGAAAAATAAAATAGTTGCAACTGACAGTTGAATTTAATGCGTTGAACAACGGAATTTTCGTTCAATCGACGAAAACCTTCACTTGGGTGGATTACTCATTTCTGGATAATATTGTTCATGGTACCAATGACATCGTTCTCATGGAAAAACTCGGTACTGCCGCGCATGTGCGACACGAGCTTTCGTCTCGAGAAATCGTCAAATCAATTAAATAACGATTATGAGCTTCGAAATAGTAATTTCGACTTGTTCAAACGTCTATGCACGTCACTCCCTTAATCATCGATCACACAGTAATTTGAAAAAACCAAAAGAAAGTTTCCGATTTGAGATACGAGTATCGACTTTGTTGAAAAAAAAGCCCCGCCTTTTGCGTTCAAAGAGGAAAAGAGAAGGAGTAATAATAAAAAAAAAAAAAAATAAAATAAAGAATCGCTAATCCGTCTTATCTCCGTGGCAGCGCACTTGTGAAATTTTCCTCTACCGCTCGTGAAACCAGTTAACCGTGCGCTCGCGATATCAGTGCTCGCATTGTTTCCCGAACGAAGAGGAACTTGCGTTTGTATTTTCCTGAGCTACAGGGTTACCTTAAACAACAGTGCAACGAAAAAAAGCTAGTGCATTGAGAAACAGGACGATGTCTCCGAGGCCTTGGGGTGCAATTCCGAGCTTCTCTTCTCTTCCACCACCTCCTCATCACAGTTTGCGTAGGTGACGCTTATTCTCAAAGTTACCATTTTATTTTCTAATGCATACACGTGTACTGAACTATAGGGTATGGGTGAGCCTTGGTGTGCATATGGCACTTTAACTTGACTGATCGTCGCGCTCTCGGGTCCCTTTGTCGCCTGTGTATTGCACTTTGAATTGATGGATCTCGTTGCACTTACCTTTGACTTGAATGCTCTTCTTGAATCAAACTCCTTGTCGTTCCCCTATGAGGTCATTCGCACATATATGCACGAGGAAATCCACAAAAAATATATTTTCCGCACTCGGGTGGTTTTGGGAGGCTGGTAGTTCCTCGGGCGAAAAAGCAGTTTTCCGGAACTTGTTCGAAAAGTCTCATTTACGAACCTCGTTACGTCCCTCGCCTTCGGCTCGGGCCGCAAACCTCTCGGTTCGAAAATAGAGACTTTTCAAACTCGTAGGAAAACTACTATTTTTTGACTTTTTTTGAGGCACACCCTCGAGTTGGAGCATGCTTTGCTCCGACTGTAATGTACCATGAGGGAAATGAACACGGGATTTAGTAAAGGTGACGCCCTCTTTTCGCAATTCACACGTAAGTATATTACATCTATGAATATACGATACATGTACAGATATAGTAAATGGTGTCACCTACCTTGTTCATGATTTTTCCGCGACGGTACAGGAAATTGCGAACAAAATGAGCCTGATTTCAAGGGTTGGCCTTAAAAAAAATTATTTTAAGGAATTTGGGACAAAAACAGGATTTTGTTTTATGGATCATACATTATGTGGAGTGTATTATGAGTGAGTGCGTGCGTGTGTCGAACGAAAGATCTTGCCGATTTTCCTTGTCGAATGTCGTTCCTCGAGATTACCGAGCTCTATATATGCCTTTTTACCCCGACTCATCGGAAAACACTGACGCACCCGGGAAAAACAGTTGCTCGTCAACACACCGAAGCTATTGTATACCCTTATGAGGCTGTTGTATTTTTAAACTCCGATGCCAAACGATGTATCGTATGGGCTTCTACAAGGTATGTGTGTGTATGCTTTGCGACGTGTAATTGAAGCACCCTTTTACCAGCGCGAGGTTTACACTCCCCCTAATGACCGACCTAATGTCCCTCCCGAGACCCATACGAGTCGCGGAAGTGTGGATCTATACTGACGCACGTCGATCGTCGTGGACTTACTTCTCCTGTATACCCAAGGGCCATTTTTCTCCATCAGCAGTTGATGCGTTTTACACCGTGTATAGGCATTCTTCGTGGCTTACGGGACTTTGTTGTAGAGCCAACAATGTTTTTTTTTTCTTTTTAATTGTTAGGTACGGTAACAATAATATTGACAAATGCCACGATGCCATGTATATACAGTGGCCACGCGAGGATATGGTCCTTTCGGGACAAACAACAGTTTACGCCGTGGACTTTCGGTCGCCGATGCAGATTGAACCAGTTGCTAGAGCCAGTTGAGCCAATTTCTTCCTCGCCATTCACCGCCTAGAGATGATATTCTCCACAATGGCCATTTGCAATAAGTAGAGCTTGCACGACTGTGTACATATATACACAAACGTCATTGGTCAATGAGACATCCTTTGGGCACGCGATCGAGCGCGAAACGTGCGAAAGAAGAAGGTTGATTTCTAATTAACTGTACAATTAACAAAAATGTGATATTCCGAAGATGTTTTCGCGTCGTTTCCTTGAAAATGTGTTTTGTCCACGGAAGGTGCGGCCGATCGCTGAAACAACACATTTGCGTTTGTACAACAAAATCGGCAGTAATTTTTTTTTGTTATTACTTTTTGGATGAAAACAGAAAAAAAAGAAACAACAATAAAAACAGGGGGTTCCAATGCTAACAAGTCGCGCATAAATTGTCTCCTCCGAGCTTTCATCCCATATGTACCCCTTTGTCATTTCTCCCCGCGCGCGCTCTTTGTATCCTTGTATATGCAACTCATGAAAAGTACCGCTCGTTTTGCTCAATAATTATTCCACGTCCTCGTTTGCATGCGTATATGTGCGAGCGCGATAACGATCTGTCGAGAGCTATGCGGAAGAGCGAGTAAACAAAAGAACACAATTAAACATGAAAAATCATCATAATCATGCGAACAAAGCAAACGAAGGTGCGTCTTTATGGAAAAAAAAACAAAAATTTTTTTAATTCATTGGAAAATTTCGCGCTGTCTTTGTGACAAAATGCAAGTTGCAGGGGCTCTTTGAGAGAAGACAGTTGTGCCCTGGCAAGCCAGTGACCTGATTCGCCATCAGGTGTGCAGGGCTTTTTACGTTTTTCGCGAGAGGTGAATCTACTCCGTCTCTGTCGACAGCTGGAACAATTTGATTTACCGAGTTGGGGGGGAGAAGATGGACGGAAAGCAGTTGGATGAGCAAACGAGACCAAGTGTCCGAAGGGGTTGATTGTCGAGTTCTTCTTTCGGGGGCAGCTTCGTCGATTCCTACGCGATGAAAATTAGCAGATTCGATTTTTACGCGAATTTGGGTCACGTTTGCAGAACAGCTTTGAATGATTTAGCCATTTGCCGTTCCTAAGTTGTGCGCGAACGGTGGATCGATGGTTTTATTTATAGCTCCGTTCAGAGCGATAAACGTATATGTTTTACTCCATAAAATATTAAGCTTGCAATTTAGCGAGTTATTGATAAGGTTGGTGGGAACTACGTTTTATCAAACAAAGCCAAGGCTAGCAGGAGACCTCTTTTTTTTTTCTTTTTTTTTTTAACTAGGATACACTGCACAGTACGTACATACAGACGTTCATTCAGGAATATACCTAAAAATAATGAAAGATTCACACGTGTGGGTGTAAAATTGAAATCGCGGCGGGGAAAATATTTTGCTCTTGGCATTGAAAATTTCGTTCCGAATCATAATAGAAACGTTGAACTCTGGAAGCCGCCGTAATAATTACGCTCGATTTGAGCTCCCAATAATGACGTTCGCAAGGAATAGTAATCTAATGCCACGTGATATGATTATTCAACTACATTGATTTTACGTAATCATCTTTTCTTTTTTTTTTTTTTTTTTTTTTTTTTTTTTTTTTTTATAATAGTTTGAGGTAACATAATAACATAAATAATAATGTTCGGTTGAATTTCTCTCCTCATCTACACTGGCTCTATTTTTACTTTTCCCATGCCATCGATTTTCCACGTAAAAAATTGGTATAAAGTCAATACGATCAATAAAAAAGTACTGCGCACGTTGACGTACATTGAGCACACCGACACAGAAAAAATAATAAGCTCGTGAGCGGCGTCGAGATGTATAGCGCGATAAAAGCGAACGTTTTATAAGCTTTTTTTTCCCCTCCCGATGAGCTGGCTAATGCTAATGCCCCTTGCCGCTTATCGGTGACATGTGTCATTTGCCTCGCGGTTTCATGTGCGTAAAGGACACTGGTTCATTGCCATGCACAAAAAGAGTGACTGTAGTTGTTGGCACCAACGACTTTTTGTCAAACTAATTTTTTTTGCCCAAGCTGATCTGAAGGGCATACAATTATAATAACTTGAATTACTTTCAACAAGTATTTTTGTATTAATTTTATTCGTGTACACCTGACAAAACGTAAAATTTCCCAAATGTTTCCAGCAATGACGATAGAGGAGACGAGGGGCTCCCAGCGCCCGTACCGCTACGGCATGATCCTGCTGTGCGTCGGGGCGGTGATAAACTGGCTGGGCTTGGCGGAAAATTACGTCGAGCCGGTGCGATACATAGGGGTGACCTGCATCGTGGCCGGTGCCCTCCTCATCTGCGTCGCCATGTGCTGCTGGCTGCACACGCCCCCGACGAGGACTATCTCCCAAACGCACCGCACCGCTCATCCCATCACTGCCCAGGTATGTTGCTGTTTTCCTTTGACTCTCTTTGTTTTTCATCCATTGGTCTATCTGGATGATGACGGGGTTTGCGAAAATTCGTATGATACTTGGACGCGAGTGCGAAGCTTTTTTCTGGTATATCTGGATGTTTCTGGTATAAAGTCGCTTGGATGAAACTAGATAAAACTTACCAAGAACGATACGAGGAAAGATGGAACACTTTTGTTTTCTTTTTTTTCTTATCGATTAGCAGAATTGGCACTTGTTATAGAATTTAAAACACAAGTGGTGTGTGGAATCGGGTTTTAATCAAAGATCATCCGAAAGTGATGAAATTGGGTTTTCAATTGTATTTATTTTCATTCGCTTGATTTATGGCTCGTTTATATTAACACTATCGCTTATTTGAGTAACCTATTACATTAGCTTTTGATAAAAAAAATTTCCAACGAGTGGCTTCGAGATACTTGTTTGTTTTTTAAATACTCCGACTAACCTTGTTGCGCGAGCAGATATTGGGCTTTCGTAAAATTATCAGTGAGCATAATTTACGTGATTAAAAAAAATTAGCAAGAAACTTTGGGAATTATGTTACTAGTGCTATATTTGATCTTGGATTTTTGTATAAATTAACATAAATTAACTTGGATAACGAACGATTTGGAATTTTTTTTTTTTCAATTTACAATGCATTGTATCAATATTTGACTGTGTTTTTAAACTGGAACTTACGAAATCAGAATTTCACGTGAATGCTGTTTCTCGAGTTCCACAAAAAATTTTTTTCGCTACTTTATCGCGATTTTGTTACTTTTTAACGGTACATTAGGAAATTAGAGGTAAAAAAAAACCTCAAGTAGACAGGATTTAACGAGATTTTACGGTCGACGACTTTTCCGTGTTCCAGACACACGTATACTGTCTTTTCCCTCAAGCGTGATTATTAACGCTTCTTTTCGCAGTTGATAAATCTAGAATGGTCTCCATGGGTTGTACACTTTCTTTCACGGTCACGTGCACACACAGTTACGTATAAACGCAGGTGGAGTCGCTCTGTTAACGGGTTTTGTTGTATTGTTGTAAAATTTCCTAGGTACTTTGGAAGTGAGAAAAAATAAATAATGTGATTTTATAAAGGAATACGTGAATCGTTCAGCTCAATTAAAATATACGCAGTATACACAAGAGAATTTCCAACAACCACCGACAAAATATATTATTGCATTGAATGAAAATTATAGACACAAAAATGAACGACTAAAAAAAACCATACCTATATTAAAAAACTGTTCTCGCACCCGTACAAAAATAATAATAGTAAAGAAAGAAAAAGCATTCATTTTCGTTAACCCCGTACTTACTTATTCGTAAAACGACAAAATGAGGTTGCGCAATAAATTCAGTTCTCTACACTCCCTGGTCATACATATCGTACAACTTGAGGATATTAACCCGGAAGTATCTATTTTCATCGCTATTCTTACCTACACCGGCTTTTGGCTATAGATACGATATAATAGCCGTTCACGCACACACACAAGTATATATATACTGCACCTGCAACCTTACCTGTGTTCTCTCTACACACGACCCGTTTTAGCTTCCGATCTTATTTTTCCATCAGTTGCGTGGAAGAGCAATCGTCTATAGTGCCGAGGCGTACGAGCAAGGGGTGGGCGTCGTAAATAATGTGTACAGCTAAAGGAAAGAGCCGGAAAAAGTGAGCCAGTGGAGCTATCTCGACCATACCTAGTGTGCAAACGTGTACATGACATGTGCTCGCGCGTATAGACTCTCTGCCTCGCGCTAACTCGCTATGACGCGTACTGTTATCGTAAAGTGCACGGGACGGAAATAAGCATTCCGTCGACCGGCGATCGCCATAGCTCGTTCTTATTTTACCATGTCCATTATAATTGTACAGTCCCATGTGAGCGCACGTAGGTTGTCTATTTGTGATGATTTGCGTCATCGAGAATGAATAAGGTTTTTTTCCTTCTATTTTTCATTCCAAGACTTTTACGGGAGACCAAAATCGATGAAGCACGAAAACGTCCATTACAATATGAGCCTATTGTCAAAACAACTATATAATTGTCAACAGATCGACGACCCCATTCACGTGATCTCGATAGAGGAGCCATCCTCGGGTTCGCGGCAAAAGCCTCCGGATTACGAGGCAGTCGCCGACGCGCCTCCCAGCTACGATGACGCGATAAAGCTGAACCCCGGCCAGTTGGCTTGGTCGACGTCGACTCCACAGAGCAGCGTCTGCGGTGCATCCGCCCTCGCCTCGGCCGAACACTCGACGTTCCCCGATGCCGTCGTCGTGGGAGTTCACGGACTGAGCCGAACAAGTGAGCCACCCGCGCACGTACCGCCGCCGCCTTACCCGAGGTAATTCGAAACAAAAACAAAACATTGGTATTGTTGGTTGGTTGTGGGGTTTTGGTTTGTGGGTGGCGAGAATAGCTATTGGAATGAATGTGCAGTTCGATGTCTAAGATAAAAGAGGATGATGTATAAAATTTCATTGCTCGTTGCCTCTCGATGTAATTGTTGACTTAAAGGGCATTTTATAAACTTGATAATTAAAAAAAACAAAAATTGTTGTTTTCGTTTGTTTTTGTGATGGTACTGTTTTCATTTGAATATTTATGCAGCAATCTTTTTTTGATGGTTTACCTTTTTTATTTTCCAAAGTGAGATAAGCATCACCTTATGCCTCTCAGTTAAACAAAAGGTATATTTGTCGAGTCTCGGCCGGTTCAACAACTATTACTCCAATTTCTTGCAAATGCTCTCCATTGCAACAAAAACGGAAACACGTTACGTTAAAAATATCCCTCGTGCCAATTAACTGACATCCAGTGGTCTTAATATACAGTTGTAAAGCCCGTAAAAGTGCACTGCAAATCTCAATGTCTTCCATGTAACCCGTTTCTCAACGCGCGAACAAAAAAAAGCCACTAGTCATTCTCGTTACGTGTCATCTTGCATTGAAAAAGCATTCAATGATACAAGTGAAAAAAAAAAAATGACCCAATTACGAAACGAGTCGCGAAACCCGTACAATAAACGCAAACGAGAGATCGAAACGACGGTATAATAACCGGAGCGACTGTTTCTGCTGTGCTTGCAGGTGAAATCACGCGTATAGGTGTTATATACGGAGCTTTTTGCAAAAGGATCCATCCAAGCCGTAATGTTTGTTTTTTATTATTTGCAGCGAAAGTGTCCGACCAGCGACCGAGCCACGAACGAGTTGATGGTACGTGATGAGAGAACCCATGCCAAAGACGGGTGTCCACCGAGGGAGTACCCGCGAGCCGCGCACGCGACGAACCAACCGGATAGCAAGCTCGTCGCCCCGGAGATTCTGACGTACGGACATTTATTAGCCCTCGGAGGAGTTACGTCCCCGCGTTGGGGGGTTGGTCGGGCGACGACTACGTAAAACCACTCCGTAAGACTGTGCACCAGCATCTACCGCGACCGAGTGTGCATTGGTGTTTGTTTGAGACTTTTGATCGTTTCAACGCCGAGATATCATGCATCGATGTACCAGTGGCACTTGCACGTCGACAATCTATGGTGTAGAAGATGGTGCGTGCGCCCGTCTCTAGTCAGAGAACCGCGACGATGGGAGCGGCCTTTGTCGCGCGTTCCGTCACATTTGTCAAGACGTTTACCGATGTAGGTTCGTGTACGTGTCGAAGTGACAGGTCGGACGAATTTTAACGAGAGAACAGCACACACCAGCATCGCCTTTGCCCTGATTTTTTTTTTTTTTTTTTTTTTTTTTTTTTTTTTTTTTTTTTTTTTTT